AAATATTTAAAATAAAATCTATTTAATAACTATATGATTATATGGAATCATTATTAAAAATACTACTACATTGCATTTTTTATTAATTCAAAAATGTTTTGATAGTAAACGGTAACATAAATTCTCACTGTAACAGGTTCTGCCTATAATATGTTTATTCGATGAAGTGTATGTGTGCATTGATCTAGGCGTAACGCGCATTCGATTTCTATGGCGTCAGCGCGTTGTGCCCGTTGCAATTTCTGAGGCGTCATCGAGCTGGGTTGCCTTCAAAAGTTTACTCGCCAAGCTAGCTATTTTCAATGAATGTGAGTGTGTGTGTGTGTGTGTGTGTGTTTGGCTAGCTGTTTGCTTTTATTGTTTTATTTGGTTTGGCTGCTTGCTGCAGCGGGTGGTCGGTCACTGCTCTGACAGCCTTCAAAATCCATTTTTATTTATTGCTACGCAAAAATTAGCACCCGAAAGCTAGTTGTTAGCTTTGTTTTTTGTTTTGCAGCCAGTATACTGCAATTGATGTACAGCTACATATATATCTGGCAATCAAGTTCTATGCTTTGCAATCTTGGTTCAAAGAAGTGGAGAAGTGGAATTTACCGCTCGATTGATGTACGCTTGAGATTGCTGCAAATTGCAAAACTGCGATGTCAGCGGATATGGAATGCGTAAAGTTAATGTGAAAAAGAATGTTTGACCGCAAGTAATTGTGTTTTATTATATAAATATATATACTATATAATGAGTATACCTATATATTTTGAAATTTGGTACTAACCACAATTATTGCTAAGCAAATTCTCAATTCAAATGAGAAGAGGATTATAGAATTCATAAAATTTGTCTGTGTTTCATTTCGAAAATTATTGTTAAATATTATTAATCGTTATTATTTCGTTACGTCTTCTTAAATTTTTGTCAATACGACATTCAATTTATATTTTTCATTTGCATACATGTGAAACAATACAACTTAACCTATATTTAAATCCTAATATATATTATCTACTGTTTTTTTTTTTAAGTCCGTTTCCAATTCTATTTATAAAGCATAAAGGATAAAGAATGAATTCTTTGAGCGAGTGAAATATGAATGAAGAATATATGAGAATATATTTATTTCTAATAAAATACATATCCTGAAAAAAATGTTCTATACAAATATCATGTAAATTATATTTTATATAAAACATCTAATATTTAAGTTTTCTTCATTCACTGTAACCACAGAACGGTTATGACTCAGTTCATCAAACACACCCGTCCGTTTACTGGCCTATTTGAGGAGTGACACACTATCCTAACCCACTTCACATGTGAGATAATCCAAACAAGTGAGCCAAGGCCGTTATGGGCTATGAGCCTGCGCTTCAAATAACCTCCACAACGAAACACAGTCTCGAACAAAAGTTAACTTTATGCTCACATATGCAATACCAAGTAGCTGTTATACGACTTTTGTTGCTGTTGTCTTTGTTGTTGTTGTTTGACCAACACTTTCGATTTCAATTGCGTTTACTTCTTTTATATTTCTTCTCTTGCTTTGCCGTGGTACGCACACACACACATACATATATATATATATGTATATATATACATCTAACGCACACACGCTTCACAGTTAGGCGGGCAGGTTGCCCGCGAAAAATTGTGTTGCTGTGGCAACAACAGCAGTCGAACCCACAACTGGCCAAGCTAATAAAAACAGGCTTCATAGCGTTGCAAAGCCGGCAAAATGCAAAAGTTGAACTGGGTCAACAAGCCAAAACGCAGCAGCGACGCCAACGCCAGCAGCGCTGCTCGCGTCGCAGCGCCTGGGAATAATGTATGTTATTTTTTTGTTTTGCAGATTTTTTTTGGTTTGTTTTGGTTTTATTTTGGAAGTGTTCCCCGAAGCTTATTTCCAGCGCCTGCCAGACAGTTTCACAGATAGTGGCCATAAAAGCACACCCTCGAACGGCCAAGTTTGTTGCCTAAGTCTTTTGATTTACATGCGCTTAACGAATTTAAGAATGCAGCGACATGAACCAGGCTAATATCCAACTGCATGTAGTCGATTGTTGTGCCAAAGCCCATTATTAACACGGTCAATCAGCAACTGCAATTGCAACAATGACAACAACAACAATGACAACAGCTGACTAGTCGGCGCAGTAGCGTCTCGGGCGAATCTTGAATCTGAACATGCAAATTAGTTTTGGCTCGTTCATGACTCGTTGATATTGCATTCAGCATGCAAATGTCAACATTTATAATGGGCAACGCCTCCAAGCCCATGCCTCTTACTCTCTCCCTCACGCTTTCTGTCTCTTTTCTCTTAGTCTGTCTCCATGCAGTTGGCATCATCCGTCGCTTAGCTAGGCATTCAGGCAAAGAGAGTTACCTCGGTAATTTAATGGCACTCATGCATAATAAGACCGAGGCAAATACATGATACACATGCTACATTTAATGATCATATCTCACACATACACTGACTCTCACACAAACACATGCACACACAGAGATATATAAGAGTAACCGCCGCAAACTAAAAAGGTTTCGTTTTTATCTTTGTTGCCAAAGTGAAATTAATATAATTATATAGCACAACAACAACAACAACAAAAAACCTACAAAAATTGTTTGCTTATGTAATGCTGCGAAATTTGTTTATAAATCCGAGCGTGTCAATTTGACCACAAAAAAAAACAAACAAAATAAAATAATATAATAATATTTTAAACAAAATATTTGCCCTTAAGCCTTATATTCGAATTCTTTGTTAACTAGCAATCAATTTCAATTATGCGCTCTTACAGCAATTAACCGATTTGGTTGGCCCTTTTGGCGTCAGCTAAAAGCAAATCATTTGATAATCTTGAAAACGTTTTCTGTCCGCCTATCTAAAATGTGCAATCACCTTAAGTGCTCGCCGACTTAGCTGTCTAATTAGACAAGTTTCAGTCAATATAAAATTTTTTTATAACATTGTACTGCAATAAATTACTTTCGATTGGCATTGAATTCATTCACGGTAATTAAAAATATATATCATTAACAAGATGCTCATTTCATTTCCTTTAGCTTTAGAAACTATTATAGATATTTGCGCTGTAATCTTTGCATTTTACTGAAATCGTGTTAGAACAGGCTAGCACCTTATATAACTATAACAAGACCGAGATGATAATGGTTATTGCTTAGCTGAGTTAATCCTTTTCAATTGTATGGAGTACATTAATTACTACCTTTCCATTAATTTCCAATCACACCAATTCTAATAACCATTAATCAGTCAATTTAGCACACATGCTCACTTATATTTTTGTAATTAACATATATTTTCTTCATCAATTCATACTTGACTCAAGTACAAGGTACTTGGTATTTAAATTTTTCGAGCTTGAATCGATTGCTGTCCATTATATAATGGAGAGATGATATATTATTGAATAAGCGAGTAATTATATTGTGTTATATATTATATTATATGTCACGCCCCTTGTGAACGATGCAGAATTGTCGAATATAACATAAAAAGTTTATGCTGCAGACTATGCTATAAACCAAAGTACCCTAAAACAGAAGTATACTTGGAGCAACGTGTTTGCATGCTTCACTTAACATTTATCGATTTAATTAAACGTAATTACTTAATTAACCAAAACAATGGATGAGATCTGCATGCTATAAGTATAACGAGATCGTGAATATAAATTAATCATGCGCGTGCCGATAATGACAGCCATAAAAGGTAGATGAGATTGCAGAGTTATTGATAAACCACGCAGACTTATTTAATTACTTTTTATTTTTATTTTTAACAAGCAGCCAAGAGGCCAGAGCCAAGAGCCAAGAGCAAGCGCACTTATAAGCTCTGCCCACGAATTGAGGCAGTGAAAATAAGTGGCCCAAAAACGAGTTTATCTGATTTGGTGAATTCGTAAATTGATGTCATTTATCAAGTGCATTTTTTGAATAGCAAACTAAAGTCAGAAAATATAATAAATTACTTTCGATTTTTGACCGATTTACTCATCAAATCATTAAAGACTTATTCGAGGAGATTCGATAATCAATTTATCGATTTGATTATGTTGACTTAGGTTTATAAAAGTAAAAAGCTGCATTATATAATATTATT